TGGCATTGTCCAAATACTTTGAAGAGTGCCACGTGGCACCGTTCCTTTGAAAGGAACGCCTTTTAATTAATATATAGATATTTAACTTTTAAACCGTAGCATGATTAAATTTTAGCGCTGTTAATTAAATTTGTTAATCATAGTTGTATCCTTAAATTTTCAAACTTTAGCGTTAATTAATAAATTACTAGGCAACTTAAAAAAACGAAGGAACTATATATATATATTAATATTGCATCAAAGATAAGAGCTAATCCGGCCTTCAATACTCATTTAGACCGTCTATGAATTATTCTTGCCATTGGTTAAAGACTGAATTTAATGGAGCATATTAAACTTCAATAACTAAACTGTTAGACCATATTGACTAACGTTATTACTTCTAGCCATTAAAAAAAGTATAAGAGCATTCCGTACCAGACATTTTAAAACAGAAAATCGTTGTGTTAAATAGAGAGACTATTGTTATTATTGGCAAAAGGGTCAAACAGTGAGGGGGCAGTTAGCTAGAAGTGGCATTCATTGCTTGGGTTCCACTTGGAGGTCAATTATAGGATTTCCCATATATATGTAGACAAGGACAACCCCATGAAGAAGAATGAATTTGACTTCATAAGTATTTCAACTTCATACAATATATTCTATTACTATGTCTTTTGGTCCATTATTTCATTTCATTGAATTGATATAAGGTAGCAGCAAAAGTTCTATACTTCCAAGGAAAAGGCTGCCAATTAAATGGATGGGAAGGATTTTAACCATGTTTTTTACTTGGTCTGTTTGGGTAAGTGTAAGAATTGAAAGTTCAATAACAACAATTATCAATGCAAATGTTGGATTACCATATATAGTTGAGCATAGTGTTATGCTTAAGAAAGATTAGGACGGAGAAGACAACTTGAATCATATATTGACATTTATAATTATTTACATGTTTTATACTCCGTATATAGTACATATAAATAAAATAATTAATCCTAAACAACCAAATCTCCTAGATAGTAAGTTGTTATAATAACAGTCACACAAATGATTAACGAGACCCTCGTACTGGCTATTTATAAGGGCATTTAAGGCATATTGTAGCACACATATTAGGAAACTAGCACTAACACTTTCCTAAATGCCTGGAGTATTATCGCTCTTTGATGAATTCCTAACACAAAGCTCCTCCACATATGCCTATGGGTATGTGTTGATTTTTTTTTTTTTTTTTTTTTTTAAATCTATGTTCATACTAATTTATTTTTAAAAAAGCCAATAATTAAAATATTTGGTGAGACTAATACTAGTAAAGATGCATCTCATGAATAAAACATATTTTCTTAAACGCACTTTTAAGTTTTAACCAATGAATTGGAAGTTGCTTTAAAATGTTTTGAGGCCTTTCTTTAAGAAAAATGTAGATAGAAGCTACATATATATTGAGGTTAACAATAATAATAGTAAGGCCACTGCATGAAATTTACGTTAAGTAGTGCTCCTATTGGCTATTGCAGCCAGTGGCGGACCCAGGAATTTCCGACTGCTGAGTCACAATTGATAACCAAATATGTAAAAAGAAAAAATTTACCAAAATTCCCAAGAAAAATTATTTACAAAGATCATCTAAATAGAAAATTGACAAGATTACAGTACTAACTAATAATTAACAAGCTTAAAATTGACAAGACTAAAATTAACAAACTAATAATTAACAAGCTAATAATTGACAACATGACAAGCTTAGCTCTCTAATAATTAACAAACTAATAATTGACAAGATTAAAATTTGTACAAGCATTAGGTTCACATTTCATCAAAAACCCAACAACATTAACAAAAGGTTCAAAGTTAGTATTTTTTTTTAAAAAAAAAAACTTAAAAAATAATTTTTTTTTTTTTTTTAAAAAACTTAAAAAATATTTTGGGCCCTGGTGAGTCATTTGACCCACCAGGCATAAGGCCAAGTCCGCCAATGATTGCAGCATTAAATCTGACATAGAACCTATATCTCCATATTTGCGACAAGATAAAGAAAGGGATCTTTATGAGTCATATCTAGGTTTAAATCATTTTACTCCCACCGAATTTACGTTACTCTTTTTCTAAGTTAGATTTCATCCTCTTCATCTCATTTACGTAGTAAGATTTTCGAATCTAAATTGTTATGTTCTTATATGGTCTAGTCTAAAATTTTCGATTCTATCTTTACGGTCTATCTTAAGTCAAAACATAAAGATTATAGGTATCTGACAGTATTAACTTTTATGATAATGAGAACACATTCAAGTAGAAGAAAGAAATCAAGAATAAAAACAAATTAATTAACAGAAATAAAAGACTAGAGAGCGGTAAGCCGTGGGAAAGCCACACCACTTATATCCTCATCAAGAATTCTATGAGCTCAGAGACAGCTCATTCTAAAACATTAATTCTAATAGGTAACTGACAATAATATTGTGCCTTGACTAAAATGTTCTCAACGCATGTTCATGATTAAACATTCATAGTTAAAATCATTAATATTACAAACAACTAAAAAGAGGGGCTTGATATCAAGTCCATTAAAGAATTATGTAAGATCATTGTTTTAGGGTGAGTGAGAAAGAGAATTGGGATCTTAAATCACTGAAAAAGCTAGAAAAAGCTTAGTTAAAGAATAGTAAAGTTGGCACCCAAAATTGTTATGCTTATTGAGGATTATGGATTACCTCATGAAAGAATGGTACAAACATAGAACTATTAAGCAAAAGAAATTGACCAAAAACACAAGGTTATTTGGTAAATAATTTGCAAGTAACATAATACTTTTTTTTTTTTTTTTGATAAACAATATATGCATCATTTCAATTTTCACTAGTCATCAAAGAAGTTTTAACATAATCCAGCACTGAAATAAATTATATAGACCGCTGAGATGACCTAGGTACCCTTTCTTTTATTAGTGTCAATGTCTTTAACGTTGACAAGTTCTCCCCACTTAAATTAGAGGCACAAAAATTGCAATAATGAATTGAAATCCAAGTTGCAACTAACTGCTCCAAAGACACAAATCTTTTAGCATAGAAGATGAAATGATAGGAAAGTTTAAGTGCTAAAAAAAAAAGAGAAAACCCCACTTTCTCATCATGACATCTAAAGGCTCCTCCAAATAAAACTGCCAAATTAGGTCTATCACCAAAGTATTATCGACAACTTAATTGAGCCACAAATCGTGTTGCAAGATTCACCAATCGCATCTCACACTTTCAAGACCTCTAGTATAGTCTACTACTTTATCATGCTAGTATTAGTCTACTCAATAAATTATGTTTATTTTTCTATCTTTTAAGAAGTTATTTGTAATCAAACGTTGTATCTAAATCTTTGCTATTCTGTTGAATAATACTTTTAAGTTGTTATGTGGGGCAATTTTTTTGTATATGTAAAACCAATTCTATGATATGCATAGTACAACCAATAAATAAAGCGTTGACTTATTTGGTACATTTTTTATCTTGTATCTTTGAAATTTAGGGTTTGAATCCTACGAAGTAAAGGTGCTTGGAGTAGAGATTGTAATATAAATTTTGGGCATACGACAAGTTGAGGTCCAAGTAGGTCCCTTTGTATTCACCCTAAATTGAGCAATTAGATAAATTTTACTTCGTATTTTAGAATGTGAAATATTAAATAATGTATAGAAAAATCTTGAGAATCGTGCTAACTAAAATTAAAATAAACCAATCTTTTTAGTGCCAACTCAAAAATGAAATTAAGGCAATCTTAGAAAACAAAAGAGTATGATTAGTGTTAGAAAGTTGAAACAATGAAGCACAAAATTGGTTCCTTGTTGATTTTCAAAACCACATGATCCCTTCTGCTTTATGGAAAAAGGATGAGGCAAGCATAGACCACCGCAAAGAAACTTGCGACTTCAAAATGCGAGTATCTCAGTCTAAAGTTGGAAACCCAAGAAAATACAGTAAAACACATTTTTATATGACTACATGTTTGACTTTTGAACACCTGATACTTTCGTTATGCTCTTCAAAATAAATTACTACTCGTTTAATAAAATAATTTAAAAAAATAGTATCAATAAAAAATAAAAAATAAAATAAAAAGGGTGTAGCATACAAAAATAGCAACTGCATGGATCACGAAGAAGTGTGGGGTGTCAGAAACTGAGAAGGAATAAGTTGGAAACCCAAGGAAAAACAGTCCTATGCTTTGACTTTAAACGTTACATGATCACCTCTTTTTAATAAATATCGTTACAAACAATCAACAAATCTCAATAAAATCATGTCAAAGATTAACAATTTTAATTAAGATTAAATTTTACAAATATGGTCAGATTAGCCTAACCCCACCAGTCACGGGTCAAAAAGAAATCAAGTGGGGTTAGCAAAATAGTTTAGTTACTTTGAGATAACAATTAAGTATAATTCTCGTCAAAAAATATATTATAATTGTTTATAATTAGTTCAATAATTTAACTCATCTTTCATTTATGTCGTTTTAGGCACCCCCTTGAGGTGACCCTATTATGGACTGCTTCAATATAAGAAAATGATAGTAAACACTACAAAACAATGGGTTAGAATCATTTATCTTATTTAATGTCTTGTCTTATGTCCAAACCTCTTGTTAATTTTAATAAATCAATATAAAATCTACAGACTTTATTTTTTTTTATATATAAACTTTTGATAGTACAGATAAGGTATTTTTTTTATAGGTAAGATACAGGGTCCGTTAACGGAACTAGACACTTTAAAGTGGATACTAGGGATTAAACCAGCAGCCATGAGGTTGGAACGTGCTCTCCTAGAGTCCTTGGTAATTCGACTCGTCTAGTGAAGTTGTGAGCTTGGATCATGGAACATAAGATGAAACACAGAACTATTTTTAAGTTAAGGACTACACACTGCTGACATCTATCTCACGCAATTGCTTGATCAATAATTAGACAACTTTTACTTTATGACCTAAAGATTGTAAATGTTTGAACAATGACATAATATAAGTCAATATGATCCATAAAGAATACTGCATGACCGACCCAGTCAAAGCTTTGATAAACGATAACACAAAATTTCCCAATCAAAATTCCGGCCAAAACAAAGTTTTATGATCTTAATGTCAACACCTTAAACCAATCCCTGCCAATCGAAAATTAAAGGAACAAAAAAGAAGATTTGACTATTTCACAACTCAACTACCAAAGAACCAAAATCTGGTGGAAGAATATGAAACAAGACTATTATTCAAATTATAAGATTAATACATGATTTAATTCTAGAAGGAACATACAATACATGCACCAGCCTTCTTCATATTTTGAGGTCCAAGTGAGCTCTCAGCATGAAGAGGAAGAAAAGTCACCTCCTGATACAGATTGCCGGTGACTGTTTCATGAATCTTTGTTGGTACTAGATGAGGCAACAGTTTGGCGTCTACGTTGATGAACATCCCAATTGTAAACACGGGCGATTGTAACCTGGAAATGAAATAGTTAGTAAATTACAGTGGTTAAGGTTGTTGCCTTTCGCAATAAATTAGCCAACCACAACAGTTTCTATAAGCAACAATTTCAGGATTATTCAACAGTTTCTATAGTCACCTAACAACCCTTTTGAAATTTTGAATGACATCCCAATTGCCAATGATCCATGAACACTTATAAAAGTCTCCTGCCCTCTTTTTCTTACCTTTCCCTGCCAAAAGGAAGGGAGAGGAGGGAGGTGGAAGAACTTAACACATTTCAAGGATTCATCGGCATTTGATATGCATGGACTTATTACTCATACTTTGTGACATGATTTAAATGGGAGAAAAAGAAAAAAAGAACAAAACCCCACAAACAAACAGGAATTCAAATCATATTAATGGCACACACCTGCGTAATTGTCACTTGATCCCTTAAAAATTGTAGATCACCAAACAGCACCTCTAAACTAGCTTTAGCATTTTCCAGATTTTTTTGTAAAAGAGTGTTGGCCTGTGAAAGAGTTGCATAATATTTTGAGACTTGCATGGTTTAATATATATTTGGTAATAAAAGTACTTTGAGGATAATGGGCCACCTCTTCACATGTATACTCCAGCATTACATTTGCCCCAAGCCATAAGCACACTGAATCTGAATCCTCAATACTAGCTCGTGAAAATATGCCTTCAGAAACCTCAAAATCAGCTAGCAGTGGCTGCATATTATTAGAATGGTCATTGTTTCTGAAACATACTTCAGTACCAGGTGCAAAATAGTAAATGCAATAACCAAAGCAATACATTGATTTTGGATCAAATTCAACACCACTGTGCAATTCAACCTTAGTCTTAAAACCAGAAATCCATCGAGGAAAAAAAAAATTGGTCTACACAGCCATCTAGAAACTTGGATGTTAATACTATAGTAATCAAGCTCTATAAATTGGAACTAGTCAGACCCTTTTCTTACGGCTTGGCACTTAATCTTATATATACTAGACAGTCTTAGTTGATTTTAACACTAAATTCCAGACAACAACGATCTAGTCAGTTAGTTTCATAAAACCACAACAGCTCACACAAATACATAATCATAGACTTTAGAAGGCGAATTTTCCTCACAAGCTAATTGGAAAGATATGGCCGTTTTGTCAATCCAGGTTTCCATAAATGGAAGGAATCAAATCCTAATAGCACGTTTACACAGAAGTCAGATCTAAATACATAAGATTCTCAAAGGAGTCAGTTCTGAACACAATGCTCTACTTCTGTGCAAACTTGCCAAAACTGAAATTACTCCATCTTTTCTACTCAGGAAGCACCAAGTTAAAAAGAGTAATGATACACGTCTCTTTTGATATCAACTAACAATACCACTATGAGAAAATTCTAAGGGTCTGGAAAAAGGAGGGATTGCAATCTAATGTGGACCATACAATATCCAGTTAGCTAATTGACCAAGCCATGTGCAGTAGCCCTAACAGCAACTATCATCTAGTGTGGATCTCTTAAAGCAGGATGGAATACCATATAAAAGTTAATTCAAACCCTAATAATTGCATCATATTGACAAGTCTAAAAGATCCAAATTTGACAAATCAAGTCCCGGTCAAGATTGAAGTCAGAAGTATCACACCAATCAATAAGTTTATTCCTGTAGACCAAAGGCACCCTACAGAAAATTCTAGTAGGAAAAACAAAATAATTAATTTACTCATAGAAATATAATAAAATGAGGATTTTGCACCGATTGTGAAATTAAAAAAACCTTCCACTAAAAAAGTATGGTAGATGGGAGAAGATAAACCAACAATTGGCCAAGCCAACTAGGCATCTTGATAGCAAACTTGTTTGCAGAGGCAGCTCACTAGTAACACATATATATAAGGTCGATGGCTTGAATCCTTGTGCACTGAAAATCTAGAGCAAACCAAGCAATGGACAATAGATACGATTTTTATAACTTTCCAATATCTTGTGTTATTATTCATAGTTAGCCCGTACAAAAAACCAGGGATGTAAAGAGCAACAAAGTAGTCACAATTTATTATAATGTAGATTTCTGATTTGGACAACCAGCTAGAAAACAACTTCAATCGCTAATTGTATCAAATAAGGTTAACTATTACGAAGATTACTTTCCAGGGATGAAGACAGGCAAGGTATCCAACAATTCTGTTCCATAAATCCAGAAAGTGGCTTTGTATGATGGTTTCATATTTCTACCTAGATGTAAGAAGCTGGAGCCTAACAAAGTAACATTGGAAGATAACCTCTTGTTGTTGTTTGAAGAGGGAGTTCAATCTATCACTATATGTCCGACCAGGTAGAGTAGCTCTCCCAATCTGAGTCAGATTTTTCTAGGGAAGTACCTGAAAAACGTAAATGTTGATCAACTGGGTTTCAAGGAAGCTTTGCTTATTAGATACCTCTTTTGGAGCAACATTTTTCCACCACAAAAAGATGCCATTTTTAAAATTCTGTCCAATACAGCTTATCTCTTGAGCGAAAATACGTAGGAGATCCCTATGGACCTAGCAAGTTCACCCCTAAGGCCCTAATAGGAATAGGTTAGCCCAGGTTTCACAGTGTTTCTGTTGGAACAAGGCTTCTCTATTGATGCATTAATATAAACTAGCTTTAAAATCTTGCTATTCTCAATAATCGAATTTGAAGAAAATAAAAACATCTAGGCTTCTTTATAAGTGATTTATGGAGTTCTTCACTATGAATTCAAAAGGCAATCTCAAAGTCAATATTGCTTTTTAGGAGAGGAAATACAAGGACCAACCACATTAATAGCAGTTGTCAGAAGCTTGTCCTCTTTCTATCCTCCAGCTCCCAAAAAAAAAAAAAAAATCCTAATTGGTAAAGGACAAGAAAATACCCAAAGCATATCAACAATATAAGCCATATTTGACTTTTGCGATCAAACATAGTCAAATTTTACCACCCTTTCCTCAATTTAAGTCATTGCAAACAACACATACTACTATTAAAGAGTGGATAATGATTGCACTTGTATTCAAATTTCAAAAGTACTACTTCATTTTGTATAAGAATTTTAAACTGACAAACTATAGTCCTTTTTTAAGGAAGTAGATTGACTTTTTAAGAGACAGATAATAAGGAATAAGGAATAAGAAATGTTAACTAGAAAGAAAGAATATCAAAAATTAATTTATCCTGTTATATAGAGACACAGTACTATGATAGACTTTGATTTTATTTAAAAAAAAAAAAAAAAGCGTAAAGCTTGAGCACAAACAAACAAAAAAAAGCACCACCATCTAAAGTAACATGCAAAATAAGAGGATCATGAACACTAGAGCAACGAACCTCACCGGAACCCCTCCTCGCTTGCAATGTGGCAACAATGTCCAAGCATTTCTCTATATCAGGAATTTTGGCCTGAAAAACATGTGCAAGGTATATTAATTCAGAACAATTGATAGTAAAACTAGATGCTTAAATTTGAGCTAAACCAGCCTACATTTCTAAGCATTGCAAATTTTCATTTTGAAGATAAAAGAATATCAACAATTTGGCTGGATTTAAAAGTACAATAATCTACAAACAATTCTATATACTGCAAAAAATTAATTATCCCTCTCTTGAACCTCTTGGCCAAGGGAATGGATCTAGGGTCTCTACCTTGATTACGAAGGATTCCTAGCACAGACACAGCTGATAAAAAATCGATTGGATAGATAATTAAGTATATCTACCTCACCCTCTAGAACAAACAAAGAAAAGTATTACAAAATATCAAGGGAAAAATTCCACAAGGTGGCCTCGTGGTATTGAAAATTCCACATTTTTCTTAATTGACCTCATGATATTGCATAATTCATTAAGGTGCACTAATTGTTTGTTTTAACGCCAACTCATGCTTTGATGGCTGATGTATAAACCTTAAGTCCCCCTGCTCAACTCCACCAACTGAGCCTGGTGGCAAGGAGGGAAAAGGTTCAACAAGGATACCAAATCTTAAACCAGAATTGAAAAGGACTAAAGGAGGCATTTTAAGGTACAATCCATTGTATTAATCATATAACAACTAAATCAGTCTGGTGCTAGGGGGGCACCAATCAGGGGCATATAAACTACATGAACTTCCATCAATTCACAAATTACAACAAAATTAAAGTTTTAAAAATCATATTCTACATATTGAGAAGATAGCAAAATTGCAATCTTCTAACATAGAATACTCATTTACTTTGTGAAGTAGGTGAAATATTTGATGGCACTTTGAATCACTTTGCCATCCAACAATGTCAACTATGAGCCAAACCTTCCAGATTCCAAGTTCCAATATCTCACATTCATCTATTCTATAAAGTTAATATGCCTTGGTTACTTCCTTCAACTTGGTGTCTTTGTTGTTAGCCTATATGTTAAGTTGTATTTCACTACGGGTTCTTTGTTAAGGTCTCATTGTTAAGAAATCATGGATACGATGGATCAAGTGTCTTTCTACATGCAACATTGGATTTTCTCTATGCTATTATATGTGAGCATCTGGGAGAATTGGCATCCTCTTCAGCAAACCTTAGATTAATATCCTGGACAGCTGGACCACATTCTCAATCTCCCTCATCTATGCCCAGTAATAGTTATTCTTGAGGATAAAGCTCAATATTCAGAACAGGAGAAAGGTAGTAATTATGTTCTATCTAATCATACATACCCATAAGCTAATGTACAATACTCACACACGCACACGCACACACAACATCCTCTTATTATTTTTTTAATGGAGTATCAACATGCATATTTTGATTACTATTTTACCTACCAAACATTCTTTAGATAAATGTTTTAATGAGATATCTGATTTTCTAAGTTCTTATCTCAAGTTAAACAACTTCACATGATTTTCCACATTTTTTGCACACATTCACCATCTTTGTCATGAGGGCCCTTTGTTGCTTAAATCCCGAAGGAAATCCAAAAAATGAATGGCTACATCTTATTGTAGAAGATGATGATATTTGGAATTGAAATTTCGCATTCCTGTTTGATAGTACAGTTGATGCCATAGCTGAGTTCATGGCCAAGAAACACCTAAAATTAGGGAGGATATCCTCTGCTTCTAATGGTATGATAATCTGTCTTTACCTTGATTATGAAAAAATTTCAACCTTTGATTGTTGTTCTCTTATATGAAATACATTTCCTTTTGTTCTTTGTTATTTATACTTTTTGTTTGTATTTTTGTTAAAAATCTATGCAAAACATGGACTGATTTTATTTTTTCTTTTTTTGTTCTGTTTGCTTTGGTTATAACCTATGTTGCATTTGGGGATTGCCTATGTGGTGTTGTTCTTTGTATTCTCTTTGTGATGAATTTGTACACTAATCTTCATCTAACTCTTTTGATTTGCTAAATTCAAATCAGAGATCATGCCACTTGATAAGCCTAGGTCACTTGAAATGTTGAGGACAATACGAACTTGCACGAACATTCTCCAGATTACTCCCTTGTCCCTAAATAATGGGGCATATTTCTACTTTAGGTCATCTCATCCAGATGATATACCCCTTTAACTAAGAATAACAAATAAGACTACATTGGAATGTGGAGAAACAAAAATTAAAAAAATGAAGTAAACTGTCCCCGATAAATGTGGCGTATATACTTATAGAGACAAAGGAGTAAATAAATCATACAAACATTGCAATTGATCGGCAAAATACATGCCACATTCTAGATGAAATACAATGACCCAGTCACCCAACTCCATAGTCAAGCAACTTGCAAGACCATTTTAAAAAAGGTGACAGAAAACAAAGTCATTGCAGAAAAAATGGAATAAAACTATTAAAGTGATACCTGAAGATCTCTCTGCTGCGCAAGAAGTTTCATCTCTACTAGCTTGTATTGCTGAAGCCTGACAAGAATTGCCATAGATGGGTCAAGCAGCAATTAAGGTATGGTATTATACTGGTAAATATTATTCTTCCACTTTTGATTATAACCTATTTCTACACTTTTCTGACAAAAGATTTTACTCTCCCCATTCCCCAATCAATCCAGTTAATTAGGGATAAGGTTAACAGGAACAAACATGCTGTTTCACGACACAAACTGAATTAAGAAACCAATGTAGTTGCCAACACAAGGTCCAAGGATGCACAAAATATCCGATTAGCTGTGACCGTCTTTGGCGTACAAGGTCATCCATATTTGCAAGCCATGAAACCATCCATACACACCCAATACTTTAATACATAGATAAAGCACCTATGTTCTCTTTAACTTTTTGAACCATAGCCAAGAAAAAAGCAAATCAATTCAGCACACAAATCGAAGTCCCTCAGACTCAGCAACGAGTGTCATAGACTCCTCTTACATACAAAAATTGGCTACTCATGATTTGGTACAATCACACCCTAAGTGTCCAAATTAAAGTGTTGAACACCAAACACCTACTTTGATCAAGATCGACATTGCTACGAAAAATTACCAGTAACCTAATCAAACATCCAAACACGAATCTAAAAATGACCAATGAAATATACTACAATGACAAAGATGTACACTCTTCCACTGTGCAAGCTGAAATCCGGCCACTCAACAAGTAATAAAAATCATCAATAACTACTGATGAAATTTGGACTGAAGTTCAATGGCGCAGCAACTAATATTCTATTAATGAAATTTGGACCGAAATTTGGCGAAGCAATAACTATTAACTAGAATCATCAATATGAACGACTGTTTGATCAGCAACTAATGAAATTTGGACTCAAATTTTGGCCACCAAAATAGAGATGAAATTGAAAGTTAAATCCTAGTTAATCCGACTAAGTTCACAAATCTCATTGAAAAAAAAAAATCCAATTTTGTCAATAATTGTTCATATAAAATAATAATAATAAATAAATAAATAAATAAAAAATCATTCCATAAAAACTTAACTAATCCTTAAATACAGTTAAATGAGCTGAAAATTAAACCTCAAATGACAAAAAAAAAAAAAAAAGTAAAAATGAAGCGGAGGAGAGAGAAAGAGACCGTTCTTGAAAGAAAGCGAGAGCAGAGTTAACATCGAGATCAGATTGATTAAGGTAAGTCTGGACATCTTCCACGAATGCTGCCGCCGGAATTCCTCTCCTTTCTACCACCGCCGTCGACGATGGTGTCTCCGCCATTACAACCACCTTAGAGAGAGAAAGTGTTTTTTTAGAGAGAGAAAGTCAGGGTTTTCGGGAGGTTTTTTCAACTAGGACGAGTGTGTTTGGGAAGAGGAAGAGAGATGGTCGTGATTGGAAAGTAAGACGACGTCGTTTTGGGATGAGTGGGCTTGGGTTGGTGTAAGAATGAGTTGGGCTTTTGAAGGTTGTTAAATCGAGGATATGGGTTGAGTTCCGATCCGATCCGATCATATTGTATATAGCCGATATAGGTGTGTTAGGTTTAAATGTTTGTGCGGATAGAATTAAGGTTATATTCTTTTCATATTGCTTTGAGCTTCATTTATTCACAAGTTGGTTATGATAACTCTTATACTTAATTTAATCTTGAGCTTAGGTCATGGTAGTTTTTTAGCAACTCGAACATTTGTGCTAATGTATTTCTAATTTGGATCACCCATTTACGAATAACTCATTCTATTTCATATATCGTGCTTGTAGATCTAGATGGTATTGTAAATGAATATCCATCAACAATCATGTTACAAAAGCATACCTAGAAAGACAAGGTAAATTTCAAGTCGTAAAGTACTCTCGAACCTAAATCCAATTTAAACCATATGAGCTTAAATGGATGAGAAACGAGTAAGAAAACATGGGCCTACTTATCACTTCCAAAAAAAAATTGAGATTTGAGTTTTCTGTACCAATATGAAATTTGGCACTAGGTATAGAAATTCAGCACTACGTACACAATAATATAGGATACTATAATACAGTTAGTACAATTTTGATAATTCTGAAAGAGATATCAAGCAACCTTCGTAAAAGGGTAACTATGTTAATAATAAGATTTTGATGATAGAAGTAATGACATAAATAAATTGGACAAAATTTTGTCTGAAATGAAGATGACAAGCAGCCCAAAGCTAAAATTGGCAGTTTCTTACTTTAATTCTCAAGTGGTGAAGTAGTGAAACTTGAAATACATACATCCTTTTCTTTTCTTCTATATTTATTGTGTCACAATTTGTTAGCTTTTTATTAGGCCCCTATACCATGACTCTTAATGTGGCCCTAGTATTTTTGTAAATTTTTGGACATGTTGTGCCATGCATTTTGCATACTCCTTTGTTTTTCCTTTTTATGAACTAAATTATGACTATGACTTTTTGTATTTTTTCATATAAATAGAATTTGGTTGGGTAGCAGATGCATATAATTCCAATCACAAGCAAATGAGAAGTCTTTTTCAATTTCTTTATAAGATGAATAATTGAGAAAGCTCAAGTCGAGTGCTACGTAATTGAATGAAGATCTATTTGTTTCGAGGAGTAATGTACTTCGTAATGTATCATGAATTTAGAATTTATTTGGATGTTTATTAATCGATATTTCTGCAAGAAGAAAAGTCTAGATATGTAAGCATGTTTGAACATGCTTTATGTTGATAACACTCTATTAATATACTATGAATTAATCAACAATATATTTTAAAACTTAAGCTACTTTCATATAATATAAACAATTTTAATACTACATCTGTTCCATATTAGTTGTAATTTTTTATATCTAACAAATGATACCAAAAAACTACAAATAATACATAACGGAGGTAGTATTAAACAATAGATGTTGACTTGTAACTTGGGTGAGATATTTGTTTCTCCTAAATATCTGCCTCCTATTATTCTCTCTTGAGTCAATCACCAAGCCTAGCCCCCTTCCCCTAATTTGCGTGGCTAGCCCTTCATAACCACCCCCACTTGCCTTCATTCGTTCCTAACCACCATCTCCCAAAATGGTAATTCGAGTCCTTGCTCTTTCATGTTCTTCTTTGGTGTTGCCTCCCTCACTCATCAAGGCCGTCTTTCTTCCCCTTCCGTATTTCTAACGCCCTACCACAATAACGTATCGATCAAATAGAAAGATAAGTTTTTATTGAGGATTTTTATTAGTCTTATCTAATGTTTGTTACCAGCTAACTCGAACTACTAATAGAGATAGTAATCTATATACAAACAATTGATCAAACCAGTAATGTAAAACAACAAATAATTCGTTGCCAAGCAAGGAATGTATGTTTGTTTCACTTCTAATCCAATTGCACACAAGGTCAAATATTTTACACTTAAAATGCAATAGAAATAGTGTAAACAAATAAAGTTATACCTAGGGTGAGATAAAAGGGAGTGTTCCAATTCAATTAAACATCCACATCCATGCCATAACTAGAGACTCCCAATATTTTGTTCTCATATACACAATATTTCAAGGCATAATAATACTACAATTTGTTCATTAACTTTTAAACAAAAGCTAGAATAATTTCATTTTTCTTATGAGATAAAATGGAGCCCACAAGAAGTGTATAGGTATAGTGATGTAACGGAGATGCAACACCCTTTAACCACTAAAGGCATGCCACATGGTAGGCACCAACAATTTTGATGCTTTGCGGGACCCACCCACACTTAAGCCCTCCTTTTTTAAAATAAATAAATTATGCACTTAATTAAATGAAATTATACTACGTATAAAGATTAATGTATGGTTTTCAATGAATTAAGAAGTGGACCATTGGCCACTTTATTTAGTTGTCGATTTCAAAAGATTATTATAATAGTAAATTAAGTGGCTACCTAATCAAAGGTTTAGTCGAAAAGATGCAATGCCATGTGCATTGTCACTTTCTAAATTATCACCTACCTATTCATCCTTTGTCTTCCTCTACAATGTATTTAAGCATGAGGGTTTCAATTATTAATAATAAAGTCACCAATTTGAGGTGACTTAATCTAGGAATTTTATTTATTTCTTTCTTTTACAAAAATTATTATTTGGAAGAAAAGAGTAAGCCGCAACCATACTTTCTTTAACTGGAATAAAAGCTTCCACATAAGGAATGAATGTTGAGGCTTAAAATGTGGATTTGTATTTGAATTGTTGAGGTTAAATAGATTAAATATTGATTGAGACACATAAAAAAAATGGACGAAGATAGTATGTATACACTCAAAAACAAAACAACGTATCAATATTATGTACGTAATAATAAGATTACGATCTGTATCATTTTAAGAATGTGTAAGTGTAATCAATTTTGTAAGAAATTAAGTTGAATAAATGAGATTGATATAATCATTTCTCAATAAATATTGATCTTTTATCGATCTCTACAATCTACACCTTTTTTTATTTGTAAATTGTTTATTCGTAAATTAAGCAACTTAACCCGTTAAATATATATATATATATATATATTGATATGCTATAATAACTTATTACTTATCAATTATAGAGGAACCAATATACGTGATAGGTAATACGATTATCCGAGTATACAACTAGAATATGCTTGATGATTATATAAAGTGAAGAGAAAATATATAACAACACAATTCAAGGGGTTATTCTAGTAATTGTACAAAGTACAATTACCAAATTAATTAATAAATAAATTTAATCATGATGTTAATGCAAGTACATCAAGAAAGTTGGAACCGTAGAGATAGATATGGATGTTTGTCTTGAAATTAAAGTGATAATGAAAACTTGCTGCCTAACTCAAACTCTAACTTAAGTTTCATCTTTCATGATCAACTATAAGATAATGACACATGTTAATTTAATTATTATATGATGTCAATGTCATTGCACTCTTGTGATTGCCTCCAAATTATATTTGTACTACAAAATTCAGACATTTCCCATTAAACTGTAAATAGTATGGTGAAAATGGTATGAAACACCATATAATTAACAAATTAAAATCACCAAAACTGTTATGGAGCATATGAGGAGTAATACAGATCAATGATATCATAATTTAAGAAACTCCTAATAGAATAATAAATACATTAGTGAAATTATAATAAACCCTTAGTTATGAGAAGTTGTGAGAAATAGGTCAAATAATTATGAAGGGGCAAAAGGGGAGCGATGAAGCATTTGTGCAATCTGTTAAAAATATCCTTAGATCCTTTTTCTTCAGCTACTTATTCTGGTTACAATCAAACCTATCAAACAAAACTAAAAGACTCTTTATTTTGTTTACGTACATATTACTAATTACGGAGTAGTTTTGCATATTAATAATATTAAAAATTATATATTTAAATTTTTATTTTTTGAGATGGATCTAATTAATAATACCAACACTTCATACATTATCATTAAAACAGTACAAAAAAAAAATTACTATTCGTAACTAATTTTTCCAAATCCTTATTAGGGAGATGGTTGTCTTGGTTAGTAAACAAGATTCATTATTAGCGAGCTCCTCCTCCTCTTCACTTTTTAATTGAAGTTTAACTTATAAAGATCGAGTATAATTGACATCCGAATATGGTTTTCATCTTAACCTTCTACAGTAATATTGTTTTGGATGAACTCCATAACAATGAGAAAATGCTGATTTTTCTTGCAGACTAAGGAAGAAAAGGAAATGAAACAAGAAACTGAAAAGAGTAGAATGAAGATATAAAATAAAGAAAGTAAAATGAGATGCATGCATGGCTATTTTTATAGAGTATTTCTTCAATTATGACTTTATGAGTATGTAAGTAACATAAAATGTTTCTTTTTTTTCGACCTATTTTAGTATTTTCATGTTTATTTGTGATCTCTGTAATTCAAGATTATTCTCTTAACCTTATTTTTACTAATTATACTTGGACGATAAATATATATATTTTTTTAATTACGGAGTAATGGAGTATCATTATGCACCCTTTTTTCTTTGGGATCGGTCTCCAAATTTTTAACTAGGAACATCACTATAAAACCTAGCTACTTGTACTAGATTTTTTTTTCTTACGTATCATATATCGGGTATTTTCATTTTTACCACCTTCAAATAATGACTTTGTCGAATTTACCACCTCCAAAAAAAAACATTTACTTTACCACCTCATAAAAAAATTAAACATCAGTTTTACCACCTCATCTGAGCTCAAGTGACGGAAAACGCTTGTGGGGCCCAGTTAACTGTCACTTCCCTCCAATTTAATTCTTTTAAAATCGATTTCCCTCTGTCTCCTCCTTTTCTCACCTTCCACCTTCCATAATCAATGTCTCACCAAATTTCTCACTTCCTCATCAATTTTCGTCTCTCTTTCCTTTGATTTTTCTTGATTCTCACTATAACTGCTTCTCTCTCCTTTGAATTTTCTCTTTCTCTCTGTAAAAACTGAAACCCTAGATCAATTTGGGTGGTTGAAATCGAGCTGGAACCACAAAATTGCAACACATCAGCTTCTCTTGTCATCTTCCACAGGGTGAGGGGACCAAAAGCTTGGTAATTTGCTGACAGAAATCGAGATTCCTGACTACAAGAGGTACTTTAAACCCTTTATTAGTACATTTCGTTGGATTTATGGTTGTCAATTGGGGTAAAGTATGCCTTTTTGGGGAATCTGTGAATTAAAGTATTATAAACCCTAATTATGCGAATCTTTGACTGAATTAGAGTGTGCATTTGTTAAATAATTAGTTAATTAGATTTACTTGGTTACTGTTAATTTAGTGCATAGTCAATGTGAATTGCTTTTACTTGCTGTAATTGGTGAATTGGTTTTTGTTGTTTACTGTAATTACTGAAATTGGTTATTGTTGTGTGTGCTTTTGTTGGTGTTGTTACAGAATGGACACAGTGGACTTAAAAATTACAGTAGGGGGTGCCTTTATACCTTCTTTAGCTGGTAAAAATAGGAGGGTGTTAACTTGGGATGGTGGGTGGGTTTATTGGATGAGAAAGGTGGAAAAAAATAAGATAGATGTACACTTTTTGAGGCAAGCAGCTATACATGGGTTTGTGTATGTGAATGTGAAGGTTCCTAGGGGGTTTAGTTGCTGGTATAAACAAAAGGGCAAGTCTTGGGTGAATGGTAAAAGGGAGCTTGTTGATGGTGAGGTGAATGGTTTCCTAGAGTCGGTGAACAAAGAGGGGGCATGTGAGATGTATGTTACCAGTCATGAGCCAATTGAAGGGACTAAGGCTTGTGAAATCAGAGGCTTGGCAAATTAAGACACTAAGGCTGAAGCATAGGTGTGTTAGGAGTAAAATGAACAACAAGGTGACAGCAGAGTTCCTTGCTGACAGGTACTTGGAGGAGTTCAAGGGCAACCCCGGATGGAAGATTAAACAGATTCAGGACAGGGCCTTGAATGACTTGGGGATCAAAATTACATACTCCAAGGCTTGGTTGGCTAGAAGCAGGGCAAAGCTTATAATATATGGGTCTTCATCAGAGCAATACTCAAAGGTTTGGGACTATGGGAAGGCACTGCTGAAATGGAACCCAGGGAGTGAGTGTAATGTGGTGGTGGATGATATTAATCAAATTGAAAGACCAATTTTTATGAGGATGTTTGTGTGCTTAGCTGCACTTAGGGATGGATTCATTTCTGGTTGCAGACCAGTAATTGGGGTGGATGGGTGCCATCTAAAAGGGGCATACCCTGGGCAGATCTTGGTTGCAGTTGGAAAAGATGGCAATAATTCCATCTTCCCAATTGCTTGGGCAACTGCAGAGATTGAGAACAAGGACAGCTGGTGCTGGTTTCTAGAGAGCTTGCTCAAGGCACTTTGTGTGTATGACCAAGGAGATGGCTTGACTTTTATGTCTGACAGACAGAAAGTAAGTGGGTTGTGTTTGTGTTTAAATTACTTTGCTTTATTTGAATTTTCTGTACACTAACTTGTTAGTTTTGCCTTGTGTGTAGGGTCTCATAGAAGCATTTGCAGATGTGGCCCCCAAAGCTGAGCTCAGATTTTGTGTGAGGCATATTTGGTCAAATTTCAAACTGAAATTTCATGGTGCAACTTTCAAGGAATTGTTCTGGGCTGCTGCTAGGGCAAGCACTCTGGTAAGCTTCTATTTAGGTTCTTTTATGTCAGTTTTATGGTGAACTATAATGTATGCTAGGAACATTTAGTTTTGCACATATTTACATGTCTTTCTATTTTGTGAAAACTGTATGCCAGGTGTCTATGTTGTGTTGAATGGTTGTCATGTGTGTGGTTGTATCAGTTTGAGTTTGAAGTTGCTATGGAAAGTATCAATTTTTTGGATGAAGAAGCATACCAGTGGTTGTCAAACATTGACCCCCAGCACTGGTCAAGGCATGCTTTCTCTACAAACTGCAAGTCTAACATGTTGTTAAACAACATGTGTGAGACATTTAATGCAGTGATTAGAGATGCCAGAGACAAGCCTATTCTAACTCAAATGGAATGGCTTAGAAGATATATGATGAAGAGGAGTAATGACAAATGGGAGGCAGCAAAGTCTTGGGAAGGTTTACTAACCCCATTTGTCAACAAAGTCTTTGATGGGTTGGAGAAGTATGCCATGACATGTGAGGTTACAGCTTCAAGGGATGAAATTTATGAGATGAAATACAAGGATGACCAGTGCATTGTGGATCTGCAAGAGAGAAAATGCACTTGTTATAGATGGGAGTTGACAGGAATACCTTGTGTCCATGCATTTGCTTGCATAATGGACAAAAGGGATGATCCTGAGTTGTATGTGCACCCACATTACTATAGGGTGACATACTTGGCTGCATATGAGAACCCAATACAGCCAATGCCTGACCCTAAGAATTGGGAAAAGGTCAAGCTCAGACAGCCTTTGCCACCTATGCTGAAAGTGCAGCCAGGAAGACCTAAGGCAAATAAGAGAAAGCTTGAACCAGGGGAGGGCACTTCTGCAGCACCTGAGGGCAAGAAGCCAAAGGTGATGAAACAATGTAAGAACTGTGGTGGGTTTGGCCACTTTGCCAAAACATGCAAGGCTGAAGCAGCACCAGAACAGCCTAACCCACCTGCAACAAATCCAAAGGGTGGGAGGCCACAGATGCAGACTCCTTGGCTTAAGGAACAGAGAAAGAAAAGTGAAGAGAAAGCAGCAAGACAGGTATTTTGTGTATTTTGTGACTTGAGTGTATTTAGTGGCTTTGTTTCTGAGTCTTGTCATACTGTGATTGCAGGCTGCACTGAAGTTGCCACAATATCATCCTCCAACAACAGCACAGGCTGGGTCAAGTAATGCTGCACCTGCAACTGCTGTGTCAAGCCAGCCTGCAACAAGAACAGAGCCTTTGCCAACTCAGCCTGTTACCAGGAGCAACAGGAGCCTGAGTCAGCCCACAAGAGTGCCAACAACTACTCCTCCCAAAGTCAAAATACAGACCAGGTCCAAGCTTCATGTAATGACAAGCAAGAAGGACAAGGATCTCAATCAACTGTGACCCTAGGTCTACTCATTAGTATTTTGTAATAGAACAATGATAGTTGAACAATGATTTTGCACAAAGGTGCCTTAACTTTTGTCTCAGCCAATGTAAAACAATTTCAAACATTGTGTTGCAAGTACTAATACGAATTGTGATATGTTTCTACCAAAAAGTTCCATTTCTCATTGATTTTGTTAAAAGTAGTACAAGAAATGTCATCCCAACATCCACACATAATAATTCAACAAAACACAACATAAGTTGGGGATTTTTTTTGTTTCTAAGCATTCCTAAATGAACCTAAGATCTAAAATACATAGCCAGTACCAAACCAAAACAACAAAACACAACAATAGCATGTACTGTGAGCATTTTCTTTGTTGTTGCATTGCTGCCATGCACTTCCTTGATCATCTTCTTCCTGTCTGAGCTAAGAGCTTTGCATTTCATCTTCAAGCTGTCAATCTCATTGAGCAAGCACCTCCTTTGTCCACTAACATCATCAACTTCCCTCTTCATGTCATTCAGCTCTCCCTTCATTAGTTTCTTGTCCAGCAGCAAGTTGTTAATCACCTCTGTTTGCCAAGGTGTTCCATCTGGTTGATCCACCCACTCAAAAGCTTTACACCCCCTTGACTCAGTCACAGGATCATAGAATTTGCAGGTCCTAAACTTGCGTCCTGGGTTCTCCCTAGTCCAAGCAGTCAGCCTAGACATTGGAACTCCACATTGGCATTTTTTCTCCTTTGAGGGTGACATGCTAACTGAAGACATTCCCTTCTGAAATTCAGTAAGAACAAGAATGAAATTAATTGTATTTGAACACAATCACCATAATATAACCCTAATTTCAGTAGCCAATTCACATAACAAAAACCCCCAATCTAATTTAATCTTACATGAACCCTAAGTATTTTAATTCAAATTGGGGTTTAATTGACCTCACAAAACGCCCAATTTCAATTACTCTTAGCAAATGCAACATAATCACGCAACGAATTGCCAAAAAATTACAACAGAAATCACGAAAATTGCTAGAGAATTAACGACAATGGCTTACCTATTTGGTGCTTGTTGTCGAGGAGTTCAATTGATTGTTTGATAATTAGAGGGTTTGGGATTGTTAAGGTTGCCCAAAAATACTGATTTGTGAAGAAAATCGCAAAAATTAATCTCCAATCTGCAAGAATTTGGTGTACAAATGAAGAACTAGGTTTAAATAAAAGGGAAATCGAGAGAAATTTGGGAAAAAATCAAAAACTAGCCGTTATGCTGGGCCCCACAAGCGTTTTCCGTCACCTGAGCTCAGATGAGGTGGTAAAACTGATGTTTAATTTTTTTATGAGGTGGTAAAGTAAATGTTTTTTTTTTTGAAGGTGGTAAATTCGACAAAGTCATTATTTGAAGGTGGTAAAAATGAAAAAACCCTCATATATCATTGCCATGGAATTATTGTGAGGGCACAACCTTATAGTAATAAATTATGATCGTGTTATTATCAGATCTGTTTATATTATCACACATTCACACAAACTCCCAAAAACTTTGAAAACAATGTCAAATAAAAGCATGCATTGCATGGGCATGGACCCCCTATCCGTTCTAAATTTCTTGCTTGCTGCATCTCAATTGTCAAATCTGTCTTTTTAGTTAACCTTGCTTTAATTAACATAAGCACATGTTTTGTTGAAAATCTCCAACAAACATTGAATTAGCTAGGGTTTGTGCATGTTATAAATAATTTAATTTTGTTACTTATTATAAAATGACATAGTGATGTTAGTTAGGTAATCATGCATATGGAGGATCTTAATTCTAAACGTCAACTATATCTGTTGTGAGTTTACTGCTTCATTTGTTGGTCAGCCAAAATTGGGTTAATTATTTTTGGATTTAAACTAGCTTGCTCCTTACTCAATTAATCTTAGGTGATGACCCGGCCCAATAATAACTTGCATGTGTGTACATTTAACAATCGGTAAACAATGGTGTTTTATGTTTTTTTTTTTTATTTGTTTTTTGGTCTCTATAATTAAAGTAAGAACAACATTTAGAGATGAAAGTAGTAGTTTTTGTTGATACAAAGTAGTAAGATTCCAAGTGCGTAAGTTAAAGGTCGGAAACTATGTACATTGACTACTCAGTTCTAATAACTCGTCTAAGTCATATACCAGTCCCCTGTAGATTTGTATTATCCATTCTATATTTTCTTTGTTTTCATCAAATTGATTTGAATTGGGTTGTACAAACCCTTAGGCTTGGGCAACACATGCTAGCTATTCAACACATTTTTCCCTTTCCTTTTCAATATAATATAAGCCACCTCATATTCTATAAGTGAATCATAATTAAAGTTACCATTTCAATATTCATCACCTCATATTATTCATCATTTGCACACTCTTTTCATCTTAACTTAACTTATAACTTGTGAGTATGTCCAAACTAATTATAATTAGAATTAATTTTGATTGAACCTAAATCTATTTGAATTTATTTGAAAAATACGTTGTCTAAATTAAGTTTGAGTAAGTTGATGGAGGAGATTGATAACACCCTAATAATCATCACCTTTAGTATCGTTGAAATCATAATTTTTCTCCTCCATAATTAGAGATGTTAGTTAGATAAGAAACTAAGAGCACATATCCCATCATCTTTTGCAGTTACTGATGATCAAGAAGTTCCAAACTTTTCTATATTACGGAGTAAAAACTTTGTTCATCAGAATTCTAGTACAATCTTGTAAAATACTCATATTCTCGCAATGAAAAAGAATCAACAATAACTAATCGCACTTAAAAATTCGGCAAAACTCATTACATGACCCATTTCATAGTAAGTAGCATACAAGGAGGACCGAGGTCATAATACTAGTCCTCAAAAAAATAAACTATGTGATGATGAGCTTGGATCCATCAATCAAGAAAAAAAAAATTGATTGGCCTGGTGTTATTACAAATTGACTAATTGTAAAATGGTGGAGTGTAAGTGTAACATGGTCCCCTCTCTATAAAAATGAAACAAACAGACATTCGGCCAATAATAAATAAAATCTGGGGTTCCAAATAGTTAAGTTAACCAACTGGAACCCTGATGAATCTGTATGCAAACTTGTGACTCGACAATTGTTCTTCCTCTTCATTGGATATTTCAGATTACTGGTACTACTCTACTGTACTAACCTTTTTCCTTTATTTTTTTTTAACTCATCTAAATGATTACGTACGGTACGAGTATGTTATATATTCCAGATGCTGCCGATTGCTTATTGCATTTGATGTTCACAGGTGCCTTCTTAATCAAGACAGCTACCACGTATCAGGTTTAGACTTTGCTCTTATAAACAAGGGCCGCTTTCTAGCTATGCTTAGCTACTTAGCTAATACGAGTAGTAATACGGAGTACTGCGGCATGTTTGGTCATAAATAGTACGAGTATCGATGATCCAATTTGTATGTATGTTTGTAAGATATGTTTATGTTCATTGTTAGTTGTGGTAATCTTCATTTGCAAACTTATGATTTTCTTTATAATGAATACCACCTCAATGGATTTTCGATAATATAATATAGATTGAGTACAAAGCATATATATTAAGAATATAATGGACATTGGCTCATATAGTCATGTACGTACTTTGTATAATGACAACAAACTTCCTTACAAATTGATATATATATATATATATATATTCAATACAGTTTACGACATTATTTATTATTATTGCTTATCAAATAAGTTGTTAGAGGCATATTAATAGATCACGTTCATATTTTGGGGAAAACCCCCCCTCACACATAGCCTAATAATTAAGATTCAAGTTAAAAGTTTTGTTAGAAACACATAATATTAAGTCAAACAAGTTTGATAAGTTATGTACTCGTAGTATCATATCAAGTTGTTAGAGGTATATCAATAGATCACGTGCCTGTTTTGAAAGAAGGAAGGAAAAAAAAAACACTTAATCACATAATTGAGATTCAAATCATCCTTCCATACCATGAGTTCCATTTTCCTTATATTGCCTTAAGTTTGGGAATTGGTCAATTGGGTTAACTAACTTAGGGTAAGAATTTTTGGTCGACCAAAAAACCTCCCAACCTAGGTCAATCCTAACTTGTCTATTCCATTTTGTGTAAACCTGATTTAGGTTTGTTTGTATTTTAGCAGTATTAAATATGAAGGATAGAAGCTTTCAATAAATTTTAAAATAGTTTTGCAACTTTAATCCTCTTTTGGTCAAAAAAGTATCAATGCATAGAATGAAAGTTAACTAACATTCACAATACACATTGGTGTGATTACTACTGTCAACTGCCAAAGGTAGGTTTATCGTTTAAGTCAGATAGATTAAAAGTACATAATTTTTGCATTAGTCAATGGTACTATCACAATCATTAGAGGTTTCCTAGATATTAAATTGAGAATTCTCCTGGTAATCTCTTCTACGATTTGCCTTACAACATTACCCATGCTAATTGTCACTTACTTATAACCATTGGTATCAAGTGGCCATGGCAAATTGGCAAGGGTTACGTTGATACACAAATTTTCAAAATGGAAAAGTGAAACAAGGAGCTCAAAGTTAGCATAGAATTTAAAATCTAGAATAATCTTTGTATATATTTTCCTTCATGCAATCTCAACCGTTGATCTAATAAACAGACTATTTTTTTTCTTAGATCTTGAATTTAAAGATAGATTTCTTATTTGTTTTTGTCGTTAATATCTATTACAGATAGTGTATGAACGTAATATCCTCAGAGGGTTTTTTTTTTTCAAATAAAAAAAATGGGTGTGATTACTTTTGACAACGAAGCAAAAAAGTAAATGGCAGAAATGAGTCCCTAGTCCCAAGAGAGGTGGCAAAATCAGAGAGAACTGAAAATTTTGGCATGTGCTTTTTGGCCATTTTCCTTGTATTGGGTTTTGGAATCAGAAATTACAGGGATTCCCAATCTCAAATACTCCTCCACTGCGTTCTTGCTTTTATGGTAAATCCCACATGCTATCTACCTGCTTCTTAGGAGGTGATCACTTAATTCTTTCTGCTACCATTTCTGCCTGCATTTATAATTTTCTATAAATTAAACTTAATTTGATCTTATCTCCCAACTCACTACTACTACTCACTCAAAACTCCCTACTTGCCCACATAACCCTAATTTTCTATCTCTTTTAT